TACGACTGTTTGTGGGACACTGCTGTGTGCAATTGGCTGCCGCGTTTGGCTCACAAACATATACAGTCAATCCACTTTACAATATATTCTGGGAAACACTTTGAGACATCTCAATGACATGACGAGGCTCCACATCAAATGCAAGGATTATTATTACTGAGGATCTATCCATTTCCTTTTCAAATGTCCCAATACAACTCTAGTGGGAGGAGGGGCGAAAAAGGTTGTGGGAGAAGGTAGAGTGGGGGGAAGGAGATTGCGCGCTGTGATGTTATAATTATGACAGGCAATAATTATCACATCATATGCCACAAATTGCCCCTTAAAATCTTAGCTTCTTCTGAAAACTCCCCCCACCACTCACCCACTGCAACCCCCCACTACAGATGTTTGAAAGGGAGATGGAAAGGGAAATGCTTGATAAATAAGGTTAAAGGGTATTGAGTAAAGGTGAGGGAATGGGATTAATCGTGAGTGTTTATTACATTTTTTTAACATACTTTTGAGATACCCCACTCAGCCCTAAGAATTCCTGTCTCTGCTTTCACTTGGTCACTGATATCATGTCCCACTGGGATTTCTCACATGTTGAGCAATAAACATAGCTTATTACAAAAGGGATAAGGCAGGGTTATGGTATTAGCAGGAGTTAGATTAGAAGATCAGCCATGATTGAATGGCGGGGCAGGCTCGAAGGGCCGAATGGCCTACTCCTGCTCCTACATGTTATGTTCTAACCATCTCTTCATTACCTCTTCATTTTGCCCACAAAACACACAGTCAATCCACTTTACAGTATAGCCCGTGAAGCACTTTGAGACGTCTCAACGATGTGATAAGATGCTACATCAAATGCAAGGATATTAGTATTATTATTTACCTCTTTATTCATTCATGGGACATCGCTGTGTGCAAATTGGCTGCTGTGTTTGCCAACAAAACACAGAGTCGCTACACTTTCACAATAAAATCCTATGAAGCAATTTAAGATGTCCTTCTGAAATGAAGGGGCAGAATATCAAATGCACAGATCATTATTATTACTGCATTATTATATTACATTGTACGCTATTGTTAACATAGATAAAATGATGGATACTTTGCTAAAGCGGGTCTTCGGCCCATGGATAGGCAGGGAAATCCTGAAGTCTATTGTTCTCTTGGAGAATGATAACAACAACAACAAAATAACATATGTAAAGCACCTTTCACATCGGGAGGACGTCCCAAGGCGCTGGACAGACAGAGTTACGGACCCGAGCTGAGGGTCAGGGAAAGACAGGGGAAGCAGGGAGATCGAAAGCATGGTCGAAGAGGAGTGTCTTGAGGTGGGTCTTGAAGGTAGAAAGGGAGGGGCCGAGATGGAGTTCCAGAAGATGGGTGCAGAGTGGCGGAAGGCCCGCCTGCCAATAGTGGGGCAAGCAAGGAGGGGGATGTGAAGCAGGCCGGGGCATGGTGAGCAGTGGGAGGGATCAGGGGGTAAGGGGTTAGGAAGTCGGAAAGCTAGGGGGGAGCAAGACTGTGGAGGACTTTGAAGGTAAGGACCAGGATCTTGAACTGTATCCTCTGTGTGATGAAAAGCCAGTGGTGTTGGGCGAGGATGGGGGTAATAGGGTCACGGAGCCTGGTGCAGAAGAGGACACGGGCTGCAGAGTACTGGATGATCTGCAGCCTGTGGAGGGAGGAGTTGGGGAGGCCGACAAGCAAGGAGTTTGCATAGCCTCAATGTAACAAAAGCGTGTATGAGGGTTTCGGTGGCCTGCGGGGTGAGACAGTGTCAAATAAGTCAGAAGGAAGCAGATAGGTGGTTTGTCAGGGTGAATAGGGGGAAGCTATTTCCACTGGTAGGGGAGTCAGTTCCAGAGGACATAGTTATAAGAAAGAAGTGTGAAAGGAGAACTTAGACAAATTGATTTCACTCAGAGAGTTGTTGGGTCATGCAGCACCCTGTCAAGTAAGATGTTAAAAACAGAGTCCATTGTGAGTTTCAAGAAGTAGATATTTATATGAAGGTGTGACAGGGGAATAAACACGGTCTCTGTTTTCTATGGATATTGGACATTTTCAACTTCAAGATCCTCACCCTTGTCTTCAAATCCCTCCACTCCTCTGCACCCCTCTACCTCTCTGACCTACTCTCTCCTCAAAACAGTGCCCGGTGCCTTTGTTCCACCAGGTCTGGCCTCCTCCTTGTCCCCCGAGTCTTCCGCTCCACCTTCAGCGGCCATACCTTCAGCCACTATGCCCCAAGGCTCTGGAACTCCCCTCACCCTTCCTATTTTCAGGTCTCAGCTGAAAACCTTTCTTTTCAACCACACCTTTGGTCACCTTTCTCCCCCTGGCACAGCCCCAGGATCCGTTACTGTGAAGCGCTCTGAGACACTATCCAGCCTGGAGGGTGCTATTTAAATCCAAGTTATTGTTGTTAAAGGAACGTGTGTTTTGTTACTTGTTGAAAAAAATGGGCCTCAATCAATCAATGTAGCTAACAAGAACTGGACTCCAATCGGGGTGATTAGAAGTTCCAGCCCTAAGTACTAATTGGGTACCAGCAACCAGTTAATGACTCAGCACCAATATACAGCTGAATGCTTGAGAGAGATTTGGGAATTCTGTAGAAAGCAACAGCTTTCTTATCAAAAGAAATCCCACTTTTTTTGTTGTTGTTAAAACTCTTAGTGCAAGTTCTTTTCTTGGCATGACAATAGAGGCCTGAAAGGATATGATGGCAGGGCAGTGGGGTTGAATGAATACCTTGCTCTGAGAACTGGTGGGGACTCGATTGGCCAAATGGCCTCCTTCTGTGTTGAACATCTTTATTGTTCTATGAAGAAAGGAAGCTGTCGGTGATCACATCGAGGACAGGCAAAGCATAAGGATCAGACCGGAGGAACTCCAGGGGAAGAAAGGTGGGTGTCTCAGCCTTCTGCAGGTAACAATTATTTATTCACCAATACTTGCAGCAAAATGTGATTGTAGTTTGTGTGTTAAGGTTTATCTCAATCTTTCTTATGGTGGTCATTACCAATGGATATCAGACAGATAAACCCCATAGATAAAATTGCTTGTTCACTTCATGGCTCTTTCTATGATGTTGCTCTATCTTTAAATCTTGCATTAATAATATTAAACAATAATCCTTGCATTTGATATAGTGCTTTTCATGTCTTCTAGATGTCTCAAAGTGCTTCACAGAATATACGGTAAAGTGAATTGACTGTATATTTGTGGGCGAAACACAGCAGCCAATTGTGCACAGCAGTGTCCCACAAACAGCTGTGGATTGAAAATGACCAATTTATTATTGTTTGTTTTGTAGGGATTATTATTAGGCGTGTGGCATAAGGAAACTTGCCCAAGGTTTCGCTCTGCCTGGAATTGAACCCAGGTTTCTCGCTTCCAAAGCGAGTGCTCTAACCACTGAGCTACAGGACTCCATTAAGACCGTCCTCTTCAACTGCACCTTTAGTCATCTTCCCCTTCTTTGCTCGGGGTCCAACCCCACTCCCTCCCCTGGGCAGCGCTCTGAGATGCTATATGGAGTCCTGTAGCGTAAGTGCCTCGCAAGTGAGTGGACCCGGGTTCGATTCCTGAGTGGGGTAAAACTTTGGATAAGTTTCTTTACTCCACACGCCTTTGTTTACCAAGCAGTTAGTTGTTTACCTAGCAGTTGTTAATTAATTGGTGGATTGTTTTCTGGGGATAATCACTTTTTTTAAAAAAATACACGAATAATAATAATTTGGTCACCTGATCTACTGCTTGTATATATTTGCGTGGGACACTCTTGTGGATGAGTGACCAAATAATTATTTATACACATTTTTGTGAGACACTGGTTTATGTTGTGTGTTGCCCACAAAATTCACTTTACGCTATAATTCTGTGAAGCGCTTTCGTACATCTCAATGATGTGACAAAGAGCTATATCCCATTCAAGCATTATTATTATTTAACTCCAGCACATCTTTTCCCAGTGACTAACCCTTGGTCTATCTGTGTTTTCAACTTAAAAGTAGCTTTATTTGTTCCCTTTTTTATTTGTCCTTTGTTCCTCATTCTGACTTTCAAATCCCTCGCTTTGTGAGCCCCTGCTCACCACATCTCCCTCCCGAAACTCCACTGCCTCACACTCACTCTGTGTTTCTGAAACCGTTCTAATAACCCAGTTCTTTAGTTACGATTTGAAGGTGGGCAGAATTGGTGCAAGTGGGAGGGATTGAGGCAGGTAGGTCCAGAAATTCGAGACATAGTGGCTGAAAGCATGGCCGCCAATAGTATAGTAGAGTGGAGGGACAAGAGCTGTGCAGAGGATTTAAGTCTGCTGAGTGAAGGGGGTGGGTAGTGGGGTGTGAACAGATCAGAGAGACGGGTAAATGCCGGGGCCTGAAGCGATTTGAAAATGAGGATCGTGAAATTGATCTGTTCTTACAGGATCTACTGGAAATGGTTCAGGAAATACCTCAAACTCGCAGCCTAATCGGGCATTCACTCCATCTCTGTAAAGTGTCTGGAGACGTCTTCCTTTGTAAGTTGTTCTTGTTTGACTTTTTTCCCTTGTAAATAGTTTAATTTTAACATGGATATATGCCTGTTAAGGTGGATGTTAATGTTAAAGATCCAGCAGCCCTATTCAACAAAAAAGGGAGTTTCTCTCTCCCAGTGTCCTGCCTAGGAATCCCCCAGATAAAAGTTGGTCATTTGCCTCATAGCTGTTTGTGGGACCTTGCTGTGTGTGCAAATTGGCTGCAGCATTTCACCTACAAATACAGTCACTCCACTTTACAGGAAAAATCCTGTGACACGCCTAAAGATATCTCCACCGTGATGAGGTTGCGTATTGTATCATAAGCAAAGATAATGATGTGTATTTTGTGGTTGAAGCACAGTTGTCTCCCACAAACCGTTGTGGATTGAGTGACCACGTTTGTTTGGGAAGGTTTATTACTCCCGGAAAGCGATCCACCAATCGACTAACAACTGGGTTCCTACTTACTGCTGGGTAAACAGAGGTGTGTGGGGTAAGGAAACTTGTTATATTAACATTAATTCTAACTGTGTGAAGTCCCAGCGCTTGGGATGTGCTCCCGATGTGAAAGGTGCTGTTCAAATGCAATTTTCTATTGTATGAAACAATTATATTTAATTTATTAACATGAACTTATTAACATCATAATTCTATTAATATAATTATTAACATGAATTATTATATGAATGATCCCATTCATTATGTTAATTAACAACATATTAATGGATATTTCATATTAACTTGAAAGGTGTTTTTAACAGTAAAATATAAATTGTCTCCAATTTGTGCCTACTTTTTGTCTGACTTCAAAGTATAATTTTTCCAGATTGGCCTTTTACACTGAGAACATGTTGGTGTTTGGGGCAGGCTACACAGCGAAGGGAACAAGGATGGTATCTGCAACCAGACCCCTGAGGTCCAAAGAGAGGTTCCTGAAGCTGGGAATGTTCACCCTGGAGAAGAGCAGGTACCTGGGAGATCTTATTGAAGTGGTGATCATCCCGAAAGCCATTGAATACACCAAATCCTAACTGTGGAGTCCTGTAGCACAGTGGTTAGAGCACTCGCCTTGCAAGCGAGAGGACCTGGGTTTGATTCAACTTTTCTTTACCTGAAGTTTGCGTTCATATTTCCATCCCCCTCCCTTCCATTTCTCTCCCCGCCCATCCTCCACTCACCATCAGATTCCCCCCACCATTGGACGAGCTTTCAGCCATTCTACCCAAGTTTTTTGGAACTCCATTCCGGAGTCCCTCCACTTTGCATCCCCCTCCCTCCCAACCATGCTTTCAGCTCTACCCCACATCCTGCTGCTCAGCCACCTCCCCCACTTTCAGACTGAATGACTTTAGCTGAGTTCAGATCCCCAGATGTTATACTTCATAGTACATTCTGTGAAGCGCTTTGAGACGTCTAGAAGACGTGATAAGGCGCTATATCAAATGCAAGAATATTATACTTGGACTGTACAGTGCTCTGGTCAGACCTCACCTGGAGTACTGGATACAGTTGTGGTCATTACCGCAATAGGGGGTTGCCCAAGCTCTCGAGGCAGTGCAGTGGAGAGCAACAAAGATTATCCACCTTGTTAGAACAGTGAGCTGTGAGCAACAATCAGATGAGCTAGGGTTCTTCAGTCCTGAGAGAAGACATCTCGGTGAAGACCTCATAGAGGTGCATAAAACTTTAAACGGGATTGAAAAAGTAAAACAGCATCAATACTTTAGGATGCACCAAGACTTGCGAACAAGAGCACACAGGTTTCGAGGTGTACAGGGCAGTTTTAGGACAGACACCAGAAAGTTTTTCTTTACTCTGAGGGTAATTAATGACTGGAACAAGGTTACCAGGAAGGGTGGTTGAGGCCAGGATATTGGGACTCATTTAAAAAGCAGTTTAATGCTGTGATGGGGGGATGATACACTACAAAATTACATTTACACAGTGCCTTTCATGTCAGGAGGATGTCCTAAAATGCTGGACAGTCATGGATTTGGACCCGAGCTGGGGGGTGGGGAGGGGGGTTAGAGGACAGGGAGGGTATGCAGATGGCCAAAGGTGCAGTCGAAGAGGAGGGTCTTGAGATGTGCCTTAAAGAAGGGAAGGGAGGGAACCAGGCAAAGGGAATGTGGATGGAGTTTCAAAGGGTGCATGTGTTCTAGAGGGATGAGATCAGTTGGGCTGAAAGGTCTTCTTCATCCAAACTAATCTGGTGCTTTTACACATGGAGAGTGTATTGATTGGACGGCCTAGATAGGTGGTGGAGGCAGATGGTTGGTGTCAAATGTGGCAAATTGACAAGGGAATTGGAAAAGCTGGGATGTGAGTGGCAGAGTAAAGTTGTTTTATTTTTCCGGAATGATAATCGTGCTTACATTTGATACAGCTCCCTTCATGTCAGGAGGACATCTCAAAGCACTTTACTGGATTCACTGTATAGTGCAGTGACCGTGTTTCGTGGGCAAACATGATGGCCAGTTTGTCCCACAAACAGCCATAAAATGATCAATTTTTGTGGGGGGGGGGTGGCTCCACTCTCCCGTTTTTCAAGCAGTGTCGAAGGGATCTTTAACATCCACCTGAGCAGGCAGACAGTACCTAGAATTAACGTCTCATCTGAAGGATTCTCACCTCCAACGTTGCAGTGAATTCCCCAGCACTAAACTGGAAGGTCAGCCTAGACTGACGGAATTTGCGATGTGGTGGTTTGAACCCACAACCTTCTGACCCAGAGGCAAAAACACTCCTGATTGAGCCAGGCTTCTCCATCGCATTGGTATTTTTATTGGGTGTCTCGTAGCACAGTGGTTAGCACACTTGCCTCGCAGGAGAGAGGACCTGGGACATCCTCCCACTATGAAAGGCATTTTATAAATGTCATTTTGTTTTTGTTGTTCAATCCCCGGATTGGGCAAAACCTGAGGCACGTTTGCTTCCTCCACACGCCTCTGTTTACCAAGCCATAAGTAGGTTGTTAATCGATTTCCAGAGATAAAAAAATATATACAGCATTTTACAGCATGTGTCACATCAAAGCTCAACTACGGGAGCTCCCTCCTTATCGGCCTTCGCAACTTTTCCCTTCACAAGCTTCAGATCATCCAAAACCATGCAGCTTGTGTACTCTCACGCACCAGGCTCCTTGACCCCATCACTCCCACCCTCGCCCGACTACTAGCTCCCCATCTCCCAGAGGATCGAGTTTAAGATCCTCGTCCTCACGTTTAAGGCCATCCATGGCTTTGCCGCCTCCTACCTCTCTGACCTGCTGACTCCCTACCAACCTGTCCGCTCCCTCCTTTCATTGGGCTCCAGCCTGCTCTATGTCTCCTGCCCTACCATCGGTGGCTGGGCTTTCAGGCATCTAAAACTCCATCCCACGGTCCCTTTGCCTTGTTTCCTCCCTTGCCTCCTTCAAGGCCGGTCTCAAGACCCTTCTCTTTGATCTCCCTCCCAAATCTCTGCATTCCCTCACCCCTACACCACCATGCTCGGGCCCCGACACCTGACTGTTCAGCGCTTTGGGATGTCCTCCCGATGTGAAAGGAAATGTAATTGTGTTGATGTTAGCCAAGGTTTCTGAAACCTCAGGGCCCAGATTGTGTGTTGGGGGAACCCCTGGAGTTTAACCCCACTCAGATTGCCATTTTGTGTACTGTTTGGCAATTTACCGCTGCTTGTTCAGCGAGGACCTTTCTACCCATTAGTACTTGGGTTTGCATGGTTAACACAGACCAAGTGGGAGGATTTCCTGCCCCTATGGAACAGAAATAGGAGCTGTCAGTTAGTACTGTAACCTTGTTTATAGCTTAAAGTAACCTGGCCCTGACTGCAGAGTGGGCTGTGTTACTTTCATACAATATATCTTCTGTTGGTGCAGGTGTAATATGCACAACAATCACTAAATAAGGTTTCAGACAGGAATATGGGAATTTACAAGGCTGGGAAAGGTGCATCTGACCAACATAGTCTTAGGTGATGCTTCAGTGCAGGGCTGAGGGGAGTGCTGCATTGTCAGGTGCTGTCCTTCAGGTGAGTTGTTAAAACCGAGGTCCCGTCTGCTTGTTCAGGTGGACGTTAAAGATCCCATGGCACTATTCAAAAAGAGAAGGGAGTTTTTCTCTCATTGGGTCTTGGCTAACAATCTCACAGAATTATGCAGTACAGAAGGAGGCCATTTGGCCCATTGTGTCTGTGCAGGCTCTTTAAAAAGAGCTATCCAAATCAATCCCACTCTCTCCCCATACAATGGAATCCCCCAGATAAAAAATTATCATTCACCTTGTGTTAGGCCGAATTACTTTTTTTGTGCTGTAAATGTTTATGGTTCTATTTCGATATCTAAAAAGGAATCATTTGCCCATACTCCTACAAAGGAGACTTACATGGGGTATTTTGGGGGTGTAAAGGCAGGTTAAATAAGGCAGAATGGATTGTTCTTTCAAAGAGGCAGCACAGGCACAATGGGTCAAGTGTTCTTCTTCTGTGTTGTAAATTTCTATGGTTTAAATGATGCCACGCAATGCAATATCCTGGTCAGGACATAGCTGTAGTACTGTATACAGATCTGGTTAATATAATGTGGCTGCCAAACCCTAGAAGCATTGCAAAAGTGAGCAACGAAAAGGTGGTATAGGAACAGGAGAAGGTCATTTAGCCCCTTGAACCTGTTTTACCATTCTATAGGATCATGGCTGATCTGTACCTAATTCCAATTATTTGTCTTCGCCCCATATCCCTTGATACCCTCCTAACAAATAATTATCCACCTTAGCCTTTAAAATGTGAATGGATCCAGCAGCCACAGCCTTTTGGAAGAGAGAGTTCCAGATTTCCACTACCCTTTGGGTGAAAAAGTGCCTCCTAATTTAACTTCAATATTTTAGCTCTAATTTTAAGATGATGCCCCTTGATCTGGATTCCCCCACCAGAGGAAATAGTTTTTACGCAAGTCTCTTTCTGTCCTGTAACCATTCTAATCCTTCTATGAAGTGAGAAGTTTAATATGATGTCAGCAGATTGTTGGCAGAGATAGTGAATGGCTGTGATGTTTGATTGAGGTTGGGTTTCTATTGGGTCAGAAATTCCACCTAATCTTAAGACTCTGAATCCATTTTTGTCTTAAAATTTCATACAAATCCTGGAAATAATATAATAATCCTTGCTTTTGATAAAGTGCTTTATCACGTCATTGGGATGTCTCAAAGCACTTCACAGAATTTATTGTAGACTGTGTATTTTGTGAGTGAAATAAGGGTATGGGAGGGAATAAGGAGTGAGTGGAGGTGAGTGTGGAATACAAACACTGGTACACACTAGTTGGGCCGAATGGCCTGTTTCTGTGCTGCACAGTCTATGTAAATCTAATGGGAGTGTTGGAGGGGGTGGCAGACCCCCACCTCTTTCTGACCAGTTTCCATTTGGGAAATGTTGAGTAAGTCGCCCGACTCCTCCAATTCAGGGGATATGATTTACAGGGGAGGACAAGGGGGGTGTCTGTGCCCCGATCCGAGGGACGGAAGCAGATCGAGGAACACGAGGGAGGAGGAAAATGAAGGACAAGTTCGAAGGCATAAATTTACATACATTAGAGCTCCTCCATCCACTTGCTGGTTGGAATTATGCTCCTCCCATCACTGAGGCTGGTATAAAGGCAGCTACACCACAGTTTAGCTGTTAGTTACTGACTCGATAGTTGGAATTGCTGTATTCCTCTCTCCGTGTCCATCGTCCGAAGATCTAAGCTGTTTGTGAACCATCATCTCTGTCTTTGCTGTTGGAAAAGGCAGAATTGGTTTTTTTTAACAGCGAAATCCATCGGTCCTGAACAGTGAGTAACGTGTTATTGCCCAGTGTGAAACGGGAGGAGAATTTGCATTCAGTTGGAATCTCCAAAGCCTTTCGATGCTTTTGTTATTTTTCTTCATTATTGGCTGGGTTCTTGTTAGAGAAACTATGGGTGATGTC